GTGTCTACACAAGCTCGGGTGGACACTCTGCAAGTGCCAGCTGGTGGGTCGGAGCCCTGCCACGCACCCGCTGCCGGCAGCATCGGAGGGCAGCAGCACCACTGCCCCGGAGGTAGCGCAGGCAGGTTTGGCAGGGAATTATGTATCTTGGAGCTGCTCTCCCCGTGGCGGTAGCTGGAGCCGATTCTGAATACTTAGCTGGTTTAATACGCAAACAAAAATCCTTGGATTGTGAGCTCTTCCAAGCAAGGGACCATCCAAGTGCTTGGCAAGCAGGCAGGGTGTGGGGGGAGTGGTGGTGGCTGAGCAGCAATAACCAGCGCCGGTCACAGGATGGAGGTGAGAAACTGTGGGCCCAGCCCAGCAGCCCGGGATGGGCTCTTCTTCATGCTCGCTCTGAAGTTTAGCTGCTCTCCTTTGCTCAAGCCAGGCTCGCACAGGGTGGCAAGGTGTGCCCCAGTCCTCCCTGGGCTCGAACCCCATCAAGGTGCATGCTACTGGTGGCTTCAAAGCCACCAAAAGTGCTTGGCCAGGTGGGGACCTCCAGATGGACTACAAGGTGGAAAGCCCCTGCATCACTGCAGGCTCTGCTGTCCTCTTCCTCCATCACCTCCTGGCCCCTGGGGCACCTCTTCCTGCTAGCTGGAAAGTCCTCCTCTCTTGTGCCCTCTGGATGAAGGATCCTGCAGGATCCAGGGTGCTGCTGAAGTGTGGAGACCTTTAGGGCGGCTCACAGTAACCATCTTCTGGCAAACACCAATCCTACCTAACTGGTTCGGACAAGGAGTGATGAAAAACCCTGCGTCCTGCTGAAACTGCTGTGGGATTTAGGTCAGGCAAGTGGGATCACCCAGGCTGGAGCACGAGCAGCAGGAAGGAATTAGTGCCCAAAGAGTGCCAAAGGCACCACCAGATTTTCAGGATACCACCCTGGGGCACTGAAGGGGGGTCGGTGCCACGGCACCAGCCTTGTCAAGCCCACAAAGAACGTGAGCACTGCTGACCAACGGGGCCAAGCCCCTGCAAGCACTGTGCTGGGCTTTCTGTGGGGTCCCTGGCCCATGCCACAGGCCAGCTCTGCTGCTGGAAGTGCCCCCAGCAGGACCCGGATCAATGTGCTGTTGGGGAAAGCCATGTTAGAGCTTCCCTTCTGGAGAAGTGCTGCTCTCGGGAGTCTCCTCCAAAGCTCCCCCTGAGCACCTTTGCACCTCAAACGCTCCCCAGAAGGAAAGAAGCCCCACCAATGCCGGCAGCCAGAGCTGCCTCTGGAGGAAATTTTATCCCCCATGTGGCAGAGCGGGCAGGGCGGGTGGGAAAGAAACAATTGCCCTGGCTTGCTGCCTCCTGGGAACAGCAAGGGCTGCCCATGCTGTGCTGCAGGCAGGACCCACACCTGTGGGAAGGCTTCGGGACTGTGCGCAGTCACCACTTCTGCTGCTTGGTCACCCATCCAACGGCTGTGCCAGCGATGATAATGTCCTGGTCCCTAGAGAGGGAAATCCCGGCTGCAGCTGGGAGCAACTGACACATGCAGTCCCAGGTGATGCCTCAGAGGCCCCAAAACCAAAATAGAAGGGCTTTGCCTCTCCTTACCTCAAAGCACTCCCAGCTTTTTCTGCCAGCGAATGTCAGGGAGTTACTCAGCCTCTTCTCCCAGCTCTCCCCACCAAAGGGGACCTCTGATGCAAGTGGGAGGCCATGGGGGAGCAGGATGGGAGGCTGTGAACATCCCCCGGGGCACAAAGAAGCTGCAGAGGAGGAGGATGCCCCAGCACCACCTCGCAAAGCCAGGCAGAGAAACGGGCAGCGGGGAGAAGGGAATTTGTTGACAGGGGCTGTGCCCCCCCCAAAGCCCAGCCTCTCCCCAGACACCCCCACGGGCCCAGCACCCCACACAGGACTGCTGAAACCTCTCCAAAGGGGTGCACGTAGCGCAGCACTGGGGCACACCAGGGCAAACCAGCGTAAAACCGACGGGTTGGCGCTCGGTGGAGGGAGGAGGGGGGGGCAGGCGGGGTAACCCCCGGTGCGGGGCCGGTGAGAGGGGGGTGCCGGCATCTCCGCCGGGACACCTTAAAGTCGGTGCCGTGCGGGGCCGCCTCCCCGCCGCCCCGCTCCGCTCCTCGCCGCTCCTCGCTGGGAAGCAGCTGACTCGGGGCGGCTGCCAGCGCTGCTGCCTGCTGGATCCGGCCGCGGCAACGTGCAGCCCGACATGTAAACCCGGGCAGGCCTATGCTAATGGCTGGGGGAGGGCGCAGGGCCGAGGGGGAACGGAGGTGGAGGCCGGAGCCCAGCCAAGCAAATTTCCACCCCCCCCAACCCCCGCCTCCCTCCCTCCC